TGCATGTCCCTGTCTAAACACAAAGCCCTCTGCTGGTTCCCAGCTCCACTCCAGCTTCCGGCAGGCGTCCACACAGCCTTCCTCTTTCTGCCAGCTGATGCAGTGGTGTGGTATTTGGAGAATTCTGCCCACTGACCAAACTACAGCCTCTTGGCTTGGTTGCTGTCCTCATCCAAGCCTCTTCCCAAATAAGGCTTTGCTTTAATGCTTTAACAAAGAGCCGAACCAGAAACCTTGAGTGCAGAGCGGAGAGGAGGGTGGGCTTGAAGAAAAACAGCGTGTCCTTTTAAGGTGTCAATTTCCTTTTCTCTGCCCCCTCTCACCGAATGCCTCGTTTTTTATTTCTCTAATGGAAAAGACATCTCGTCTGGAAACAGCGATACTCTGCTGAACATATTAAAGCTCCAGAGTGACTGGTGTCTGTGCGAACGACTAAGTCATCTTCATTTTCACTAGAGTAAGTATTTTTTTTTCATATGCTTTCAATTCCAAAGTCCTTTCAGTCAGTTATTTTGCTGATTATTGTGGCTTTTAAATTGCATAAAGTAATAATCAATGCAACTCTATATGCGCTACAATACATAATCTTAAAAAAGACCAAAGCTGAAAAAAAATAGCTTAATGCAGGTGTTAAATTGAGTATTTTTCGTGATTTTTTGATTGCAAGTAGTTTTCAAGTTCTCTTGAGTGTTCCTGCAACTTTTGATATGTAGCGTGAGCTTCTTCTTTGTTGTGACTTTATTCATTTTAATTACAGCGTTTGTATCAAACACATATTTTTCTTCATAAACACTTAATGCAGACCTAGCCTGTTCCAAATGCCCTCCGATTACATTATCACTGATGCAGAAGAAAACTAAGGCACTCAGATCAGGGTGAGAAAAGACTGTGGGAAGAAATAAATCAATAATAGTGATAATATACGTAACTAAATATAATATTATTTATATGTTTATAATGATATTTCTGTGTGATAGATAGATAAAGTGGAGACTAAATGAATTAACCAGTCAGCTTCATGAGCAAGCCAACCTGAACAGTGAGGATAAATGCTCATTGGGTGTAGATTACAAACACCCAATGCAGTACTGCAATGTAAAAGTTTATGGAAACTGAAGTGACACTTACAAATGTGTAAATGTCATTGTATTAGAAAATATTAAACAAGCACTTTAAGTGTTACATTTTTCTCAGCACTAACTTCACTTTTCTGACCTATCTTTAAATGAACTGTTATCTAGTGGTCCCATTTTTTTCTGGCTTGGTTATTGTGTAATCTAATGCATAATGTATATAAATATCAAACCAGAAGCCATTAACATTTGATACATTTATACTGACCATTTTTTTTACATTTTTAATTGTGGCTTCATTGTCTGTTTTTTAATTTAATTTAATTTAATTTAATTTAATTTAATTTAATTTAATTTAATTATTGATTTCATTTCATTAAATTTTTTGCTATTTGTCCACAAATTAATTATTAGAAAAAAATAATGAATTAATTAAAAAAAGGTGCAGATGTTTGCTGTAATGCTCATAGTGTGAATGACTTTAAACTCATTCCTTAAGGTTGGGACTTCAGAGGAACGTGGTAAAGCGCAGAATGGCAGCACAGGTGAAGGTGCTGCTCTCTTTGGGTGTGTGTGTGTGTGATTTGAGCTTCGCTTCGATGGTGTTACGGACTGCTGAGATGTGTGACTGTAGCTGATGGGGTTTCTGGAGGAGCATGTTCATCTGATCCTGTCATATTCAGCTGTACAGTACTGATTTCTCCATCCACCTCCACTCAAGGACTATATGAACATGTGAATCTCTCCGCCTCTGCCTCTCTGGTTGCTTTTTGTGTAACGGTTTAGCTCGGTTTGACACAGCATTTTTTTTATAATTGTGCTGAACTGTTTGCCATTGGAAATGTTGGACTGTTTACACCGCACAACATTTATAAGCATGATCTGTACGTTGATTTTACGGCTTTGTGGCTGCTTCCAATTGCGTCATTGGCTTTTTTCCACATTATTCTGATGGTGTTTAGCTTCTTTTAAAATTTCAGGAGAAGAGGATTTCAGGAAAGGTAAAATAGTGATAAACTTCCCCAACTTGTGTTCTTGTTGTATATCTTTATATAACAACAAGCAAGCATTATTCATGTTGATAATGTCTAATAACATTTGACGGAGGAACATTTCAGACAGACTACACTGTAACAAAAAGAACAATACAAAAATATAAGAAATCCGACATGGAGTTGCACATATCCTCCTGACTACCAGGAAAAAACTGTTTTGTGAATTTAGTATTTTGTCATGGCATTACATTGTCTAGAGCATAAGAACAATTTGAAAAATTAAATTTTTGAAGAAAAAAATGATATTTTATTCATATGTTATGCCAAGTCCTCTGTAGAAGACATCGGGACTTTACAAAGCCCTATTTTCTAAGAAATAAAAACACATGAATAAACATGAAAAAACAAAAACATTTCAGACAGACTACACTGTAACAAAAAGAACAATACAAAAATATAAGAAATCCGACATGGAGTTGCACATATCCTCCTGACTACCAGGAAAAAACTGTTTTGTGAATTTAGTATTTTGTCATGGCATTACATTGTCTAGAGCATAAGAACAATTTGAAAAATTAAATTTTTGAAGAAAAAAATGATATTTTATTCATATGTTATGCCATGTCCTCTGTAGAAGACATCGGGACTTTACAAAGCCCTATTTTCTAAGAAATAAAAACACATGAATAAACATGAAAAAACAAAATCTGATTTTTGTTATACCAAACTTTATATAAAGACGATTCTCAACTATGTTATGAAAGATATTTTTAAAAAACATTTTTCTTTATGCCAAATGTGTGTAAAATGGCCATAAACAAGTTTTTCCATTATAGACAATGTATCTAATTTGCATATGAATGTGTTTTTGGGGGCAACATACAATGAACAAATAAGTGCAATAATGGGAGTAATAATTAGCAAGATTTTCATAATAATATCTAATATTTAATAGGAATATTGATACCTAATTTTTTCTCTATTCATTTGTTGTGTCTCCCAAAATGTGTAATAAACATGCTTTAAGTCCTGGTGTCCGCTACAGTGGACACGTATGAAATCAACCTCCTGTTTCATAACAAGAAGCTCATATTTTGATTTGAAACCCCGTAACATCTTCCTGAGATGTTGATTTATGACAAACAATTATGTCAGATTTAAATGATAATTACAAAATATTATCATATTTCCATAAGAGTGTTACACTTGATCACTAAATGAATGTCAGCCATTTTTAAAGACCAAGGAGAGGAAGTGGTGACGGTGAAACATCCAATCATTTAATATCTCTGAAAAGCCCTGAATGTGCTCTGCACAGGACATCCAGACTTACAACTGTGGCATGTAACGTCTCAGAGAAATCACTAAAACATAATGTCTTCTACAGAGGACAAAACTCCATAGCTGGTATCAGGAGGATATTAAGAAACTTTATGTTATCCTCTACGCAGGGAGCTTCAACCATGGCAAACAAGGGTCCTTCATATGGGATGAGCCGCCAGGTGCAGGATAAAATCGAGCAGAAGTACGACCCTGAGCTGGAGGTGCGTTTGGTGGAGTGGATCGTGACTCAGTGCGGCTCTGGCGTTGGAAAACCAGAGGCTGGAAAACTGGGCTTCCAGACCTGGCTCAAAGACGGATGTGTAAGCCATGCATGTGTGGTGCTCCCAAGGCAATCACGCAAGCAACATGTTGTGCACTTTTAAGAAAAGGCTGCCAAGAAACAGGCTTTGACAGCATTTTATCTCACCTTTAACCAAGAAAAAAAAAAAAAGCTTGAGATTTAAAAATCTCTTTTGCAAGAGTGTCCTGGCCGAGGCAAGCAGCACATGTAGTTTCACAAAAATGATACTTTAGAAAAGATATACGTCATCTCATAAATGATCAGTAATAGTCATTTTTAATTAGTATTAGTAATAAAAAAAAGAAAGTGTTTTGACAAAATTATGAACGAGTGAAAAGCTAGCTGCTAGCTGAACCTAGGCTATTCAGTTAAAAAAAATACAAAATAAGAAGCTAAAACTAATAGGCATTGCAGGATTGGCACGAGAAATGCTAAGACCAACTAAACCTGAATAACATTCCTGTTGAGTGACAGATCAAACCACACTGGATCTGCATGAGTGACTTGGTGTTGTTATAACCTCCTTCATAAGGATGACGTTTCTGGCAGGTAATCTCGCTCTCCGCACCGTTCTCAGGTTTTGTGTGAGCTCATCAATACTCTGTGTAAGGACAAGCCTGTGAAGAAGATCCAGAGCTCCAGCATGGCTTTCAAACAGATGGAGCAGGTCTCTCAGTTCCTCAATGCTGCCGAGCAGTACGGCGTCGTCAAAACCGACATGTTTCAGACCGTAGATCTGTGGGAGGGTGAGTTCAACAAAACACATGCTGTATATATTCCTCACATTCAGATCTCATGTCAAATGCACAATTCAGTATATCGCTTTAAATGATCATTCTTTACATTTCTCTATTAACTTAACATTATCAGCTAACTTTAGATAAGTTTGATTCAATTTGAATACTTTTTAATGTATGGTATGAGACAAAGAGCAAAACTAAACTAGGTTATCATATATGCAGCAATCATCTGTGTCTGGTTAACAGCATACTAAACAATTTCATAGATTTAACTCTGTTTAGCGTGTACTGTAATACAAAATGAATATTAAAATAAAACATTCATTTTAAAGTAATACAAATTAATTGCACATTGACATGCCTCTCATACATCACCATTAAATTTCAATGGTTTGTATAGAATAATTCTAATAAACTTTAGTTTTTATTGAAATGAATTGGAAAGAAAAAGGAAATCAAAATAACTTGTTTTAGTTGTGTTTGTCTTTATTAAACCTGTTAATATCACCGTTATATTATGGGGAAAAGCATTCATCGTAATCCTTTTTGTTTGCATAATATTTCTTAGTACAAAGTAGTTAGGTCTAGTAGACTAGTTATTAGCCAATTTACTTTACTTTTACTTTAAACCCAGTAATATCCTCCATCCATCAATTCTCCAAACTGCTCGTCTCCTTTGTTTTGTTTTTTTAATACAAGATCAGGATGAGTTTGTTTCTTCATCAGATCTGGAGAAATGTAGCATTGCATCAGCGTCTCATCAATGGATGCTCTGCAGTGAATGGGTGCCGTCAGAATGAGAGTCCAAACAGCTGATAACAACCACCAAAAGTTGCATGTTTATAAGAAACAAATCCAGAAAATCCAGGAGATGCACTTCTTCACTGGAGGAAGAGTTATTATGGATTATGGATTCATGTTTTTAGTTAAAAGCGTCTTATACTGGATGTGTTTCAGCTTTTGTCTTCTCCAGATGTTAACTGATGGACTGGAGTGCTGTGGATTATTGTGATGTTTTTATCAGCTGTTTGGACTCTCATTCTGACGGCACCCATTCACTGCAGAGCATCCATTGCTGAGACACTGATGCAATGCTACATCTCATTAATGGAACAGCATTGGCATTTTATGTTTAATTTTTAAAGCTAGTTGACGATGCCAGAATTTACTTATCTTTTTTTACATTTGTAATAGGGTTAAAATAATAATGCTTTAGGTTTAGAATCAGTAACAATAACTATAACAATATATTTTGAATTGCAGGCAATAGCTTAAGAAAAAGTCCAAGAACAAAAGCATGAAAACATTGTATATACACATGATACTTTGGGCCCGAGGTGTGGAAAATATGATTTCTTATTAGTTCAGCAATAACCTTTCAAACGAAATGATCCTGACAACAGCCCAGGTGTAGATCATTGTACATCAGAGTTGAAATAAAACACTTGTTTGTTCCTGAAAAAATGCTCTCCGGACTGAAAAAGACAAACGGGAGCTCAGTGAGGAATTCAGCAAATGTGCTGATCTCCTGATTTCTGACACTGAGACTGTAAAATTATCCCTAATGCTACTGTAACAAATCTTTAAAGGGTGTTTTATCCATTCAGGCATTGATGTTACATTCAAACCACAATACAATCCCTTAATTACCAAAACACCCATAATTCCAAAAAAACAAGTATTTCTTCGTCTTCGAATATTTACTGGTATCTTCTGTTGCCATGGACAATGGTTATTATTAAAACAAACAAACATTCAACATCTAATCAATTGTGACCCTGGAGCACAAAAGCAGTCTTTAAAGGGTTAGTTCACCCAAAAATGAAAATTAGCCCATTAATTACTCACCCCCGAGGCATCCTAGGTGTATATGACTTTCTTCTTTCAGACAAATCCAGTCGGAGTTATATTAAACATTGTCTTTGATCTTTCAAGCTGTTTAATGGCACTGGAAGCAGCTCCGGGCGCATGACGTATGAGGTCAGCGCTGCGCATGCGCCGCTCAGAAGTGACGCACACGGAAGCGCAGCGGAGAGATCTCTGACTGGATTCGTCTGAAAGAAGAAAGTCATATACACCTAGGATGACTTGAGCGTGAGTAATTTATGGGCTAATTTTCATTTTTGGGTGAACTAACCCTTTAAGTCGGTGGGGTTATATTTGTAGCAATAGCCAAAAATACATTGTATGGGTCAAAATTATAGATTCTTTTTAATGCCAAAAATCATTAGGATATTAAGTAAAGATCATGTTCCATGAAGATATTTAGTAAATTTCCTACCGTAAATATATCAAAACTTAATGTTTGATTAGTAATATGCATTGCTAAGAACTTCATTTGAACAACTTTAAAGATGATTTTCTCAATATTTAGATTTTTTTGCACCCTCAGATTCCAGATTTTCAAATAGTTGCATCTCAACCAAATATTGTCCGATCCTAACAAACCACACATCAATGGAAAGCTTATTTATTCAGCTTTTAGATCATGTATAAATCTCAATTTCAAAAAATGTACCCTTATGACTGGTTTTCTGGTCCAGGGTCACAATTCCGTTAGAACAAATGTCTCCCTGCTAGATCCCAAAATTCAAGAAAATCAAAAACAGTCAAGATCTATGTGCATCTTCATAGCTTGCTTGTGCAAAAGAGCTGTGCTTTAATCATGCTGCTGCTGCTGTGACGTCAGGAAAGGACTTGGCCGCGGTGCAGAGGACACTCATGGCTCTGGGCAGCATCGCCGTTACTAAAGATGAGGGCAGCTTCCGCGGAGATCCCAGCTGGTTCTTCAAGTGAGTCCCGCTGATCACACGGACACAGCACTGCACACGCCACACGGACTGACGTGTCTGCTCTCTGTTTGCAGGAAAGCTCAGGAGAACCGGAGAGATTTCTCTGAAGGCCAGCTGAAAGAAGGGAAGAATGTCATAGGCCTGCAGATGGGATCCAATAAAGGGGCGACCCAGTCTGGCATGACAGGCTACGGCAGACCTCGACAGATCATGAACCCATGAGTCCTTCCCTCGGTTCCCCCGAGCATCACTGCATCCCAACCGCTGGACTACAAATGTTCAAAATATGACCAGAAGGACAGCGTAATAAATATAAATAAAGAATAACACCACTCGGTACTAAACCAAGTTTCCATATCCAGTGTCAATCCCTGCTTGTGGAACGTATCTGGTCCAATTAAAATTCTTTGTTGAGCAGAATTTTGCGTTTCATCTGAGTGCAACATGACAGATTGTGCGGTCTAATAAAGCAATAAGCCCCAAGAAGCCGTGGTTTTAGGCACTCCGCTTTTATAAAACGGTTACTCCATATACGTAGTAAGGTTTCACAAAATAAAACGGAGCAAATAAAGTGTAATGATATTAATAAAAACAGTATTCTTCCACCAAACAATGTAGCTCCTCAGAAACAGTTGTGGTTGCTACAAAGTGGTTGCAGAGCAACACACAAACATAAACAAAGGTGTGTGTTACTTTGTAGCGTCATTCACAACAGCTTCAGCTCAGCCAATCAGAATCAAGCACCGGAACTCTCCGCTTTATAAGAAACAGTTTGTAATATCTGCAAGTTAACATCACATCGAAATGAACCCCATTTACTTCTGTAATACACATTCCTGGTCTTATTGTGGTGCATGTTAATCCGAAAGGGAAAAAATTAGGCTAATGTCACTGATCAATCTTATTGTTTTCAATACCGGTCATATAGAAAGACTACCAATCAATTCCTCAGAGACGAAATCAAGCTCCACTCCTCTCATTACAGAAATTGGGTTGCGATCAACATTTTGTGTTGATTTTAAGAGCTCGTCTAAAAGCACGCAACACTGTAACCCATGCAGGGATACTAAAACACTTTCCCTTTTTGTTTTTATTCAAACCTCATCTGAGTTCTTGTTCACAAGAATACCACACTTCAGTAAAAAAAACCAAAAGAAAAACAGACTAGAATCAGTAAAATATCTGCGGGTAAGCAGACCTCCAGTTTAAACAATCTCTTACAGTCTTTCAAGTGTCAGGTATTTATAGACCTAAGAGTGACACATTCGATGCGTCACGATCAAGAAAAAAGTCATTATATTAAACTCCACAAAATATCATCCACGCAGCACTCGGCAAACCTCACTCACACATTCTCTCAATCATGCACTGAATGTTTCAAATACTGCACTCAACATCAGGCACTCTTAGAAGACAACATTGTCATGAACACAAAAGAAGGCAACTCAAAATAGAGCATTTGGCTCACATGCGCAAACAAAAGCGAAGTGCAACCTGAAATTTCAAACGAAAGAAATGGAGACACGTGCTACGTGTTCTCATCAGCAGCAATGAGCGGGACTTTGGACTCGTTGTCCATCTCGGGCTGGATTTCCACCACTTGACTGTCCTCTAGGCCCGTGGATCCGGCCTGAAAGCCTCTGTCCCGTCCCGTCGTGCTCCATCCACGCCGGTCCCAATGAGTGAGGGTCACCTCCAGAGTGTAATAGAGCGACCAGAAGAGAGCGAAACAGCCCAGCAGCAGGAGAGACTGCAGACCACAAAACACGCTATAAATTCACGTGCAAAATGACATATGCATTGGGTTCGGTTCAAGCCATACACTAGTTACACATGTGACGGCGTGTGCAACCATGCTGGTGTTTTCAGGAAGACACACCTTCAGGCTGCTCGAGGTGAACGGGCTCACGATTTCAGGAGGAACGTCGATACCAGGAGGACAGGGAAGAGCAAAACTTCTGTCCAGATACTGTCCACCCATGGCGTCTTCAACAACCCTGACAATTCAAACAAACACGCATGGAAATGTATTAACACTAAACTGATTCAGGATTACACTGCTGAAGCTAACAGACCAGAGTCAGAGCGTGTATTGTTTTTTAACATCTAAAACATCTTCAAGTAAATGCAACGAGCTCATGTTGAGTACCAGTCCTCTGTGGCTCACCTCCGTCTCTCTTTCACCTGCTGAAGAGACATAGATGAGCCGTATAGAGTGAGTTTCCAGTGCTTCAGGACGCCTGATGGCAGAGTCGGCTCTTCTGAAAGACAGAAACACGGGTGACACATTAGGGCTGGGTAAAAAAATATAGATGTTTAATCGATTCTCATTAATATGAAACAATATCGATTCATAAATCCCAAGAATCAATTAGTCTAGCTTGTCAGATAATGAACGGAACAGTGTAGCAATCCCACCCATCCAATAAATTGCAATACACTTTGTGATTTGTTACTTTTGATATGAAACAATGTCTCAGATTCTGTCCATTTTATTACAATATTCAAATATGAAATGCCGTTTTGGCGCGGTTTAATGTGGAGTGACAGATCGCTGTGAACTGATCGTCTCCTCCGCTTTAATAGTGGTTACAGCATGAAATAAACATGAATGAACATCCGAGGGTGTTAAAAGAAAGAGCACAACTTACCGAATCCATCTCCTGTCTCATGAAATCGCTCAATCAGTGTTTCAAACGTGGAAAGATGACAATAGCTTGTAAACAATCTGTCACGTAACGTCACATTTACCACAGATAAACCTACTCGGTGAACACGAACTAGAAAAATTAACTCTAGAGTGGAGCATTAATTTTTTTACTGTTCTTCGATATTTAATTTATGTTTGAATAAATCCATCAAGTTTTTGTGACAACCACCATTTAAATGTTTATATTAAAAAATAAAAAAAAAACTAATTGAAATAGCCTATAATTATGTAATTTAAAGTGCAGGTCATATGGTATTTTAAAGTGTCCTAATATTGTGTAGGAGTCCCCTACAACAGGTTTAAATGCATCTAAGATCAGAAAACATTGTAATTTTCTCAGAATATACATTTAATATTAGAGTCATTTGCCAATGATTTCTAAACGGTTCGTTTCAAGCAAGTTCGGAGCAAACCCCGCCCTTCCATAAGCCTACTCTGCTCTGATTGGTCAGCTGGCCAAACCTGCTGTGATTGGCACAGAGCAAGACATGAGCACAACAACTAGCATGTATTTACATAGAAAAGCTATGGGAAAGTAGTGCAGTGGAATGGAAAAATGCATTCTGTGTGAACGGCCCATTAGGCTCTATGTTGTTTCAAAAGGAATATTTCATCCAAACTGTACTGTTTACTTTACTGATTTAAAGTGAGGAGAGCACAGTGATTTTTTTATTTTTGACAATCATTTTGCTCCATTTGTATTCTGTTGTGCCCACTGCATCTGTAATACACAAGTCGTACAAAACATCTTGCTTGAAACAGAATACGTGGACGTTTGGTCCTCTTAGACAAACAAAACTTTTCTTCAAATTGTGAATGGATTATGTAGAGAAACCGAGCAATGATATAATCAACTAACTACACAATCAATCTCTTATTTACACTGTGTGTGTGCTTTTTTCTCTCGGTATAATAGGTAGACAACAAAATATGAACTGCAATCTTTTCAAATGTCCCTTGGAAAACCATTAGTCTCACTAAACGCAGTGTGTAAATATCATTTGTGACCTGTGCTGGCAAAATGAGTCACAATGAGCAATTTTTCAAAAGGAGTTATTTTCATGTTCACATTCTCCATTAAAAGACCTTCAGAGTGATGTATGATTTGTTAGAATCGGGCGAAAAATGACTGAGCTACACCTGTTTGAAGTCGATAGAGTCAGCAAAGTCAATTCTGAGGAAAATCAAGTTAAAGTTTTCTGAAGGTTCCACCTGCAACGCTGCATCTTTTCCTCCAGTTCTTATCTTAATAATCATTACTGTATTAATAGTCACAATACAGCTATTTTTTATTTGATCTTTGATATTGTAAATAAGAACAGATGCAAAAAAAAAAAAAAACAGTAGAACAAATATAAGAAAAAAAGCAAATAGTGCATTACATGTTTAATTTTACATCCAAACAAAAGCATTAAAAAAACAAATAATCAAATGTAAAAATCCCTTTAGTGTGTTCATTACAAATAAATTGATTATTAAAAGTACAAAAGCAGTTCAATCAAGAGCAGCTTTCTTTTATTGTTAGATTAACATTAATGAGACAGACGGCCTATATTAAGACCTACTGTAATGCACGGATCTAATATAATGTTACACATCAGATGTTTTTCCCCAAACGTTCACTTAAGACATAACAGAGTATGTTTGCGTGAATACTTAAATACTGTAATTCTGTGTATATGCATCGGGATCGCGCGCTTCGGATGACAGTCAGCGTGAGAAGCGAGCGGAGAAAAGATGCTCCTCTCAGAAAACGCACAAATAAAGATAATTTTAGATGTTTAATTACTATTTGGAGCACTGGGATCGCTAGACGAGGGCTTAAAGAGGACATAACACACAGAGTTTCACCCAATCTCATGTTAATCTTGAGTACCTATAGAGTAGTACTGCATCCTTCATATCGCCAAAAAGTCTTTAGTTTTAAAATAAAAGAAACAGCTCGTTCTGGTCGATGCGCATATCGCCAAAAAGTCTTTAGTTTTATCATATTTATAAAAGAAAGAAACAGCTCGTTCTGGTCTATGCGCGCTCTTCCGGGAGAAATGCCCATATAAGGAGTTCCACCCTCGTTTACGTCATTAAGAGCCACGATCGAAAAAAAACTCTCCGAAACTTGTACGAACCCGGAAGTAAGATTGTTTGGCACAGAAATACTTCGTCATAAGTCCAAATTGTTTTTTGAAACTTTGTCCATGCTTTGCATGATAATCCATCTCTTTAACAGTGTAAACAACTCTGAATGCATGAAACCGCATTGTACCCCCCCTTTAATGAACTCATTTATGACCCTGGAGCACAAAACCAGTCATAAGTGTCAGTTTTTTTTTTATTGAGATGTATACACCATCTGATGCTGAATAAATAAGCTTTTCATTGATGTATGGTTTGTTAGGATCGGACAATATTTGGTCGAGATACAACTATTTGAAAATCTGGAAACCCCCCCCCTCCCGCACTCCCCCACTCTCTCCGTCTCACACACACACACACACACACACACACACACACACACACACACACACACACACACACACACACACACACACACTCACTGTCACTCAGA